TTGCCACATTACTAAGATGCTATTATATTTTTAACAATATTTTTAATTAGTTTTAATTTTCTTTTCCCACGCTTTCATTTTAATTTGAAAGTTTTAGTCATTTTGTTGTGTGTTTTTGTCATTTTTATTAGTTACCTCTATAGTTATATATATATTTTTTTTTCAGTTAAACTAAATTTAAATTAAAAATAAAATGTTGCTTTGGCTAGCTGAAATAAAATAAGTATTTATTTATTATTTTATATATACATATATAATTTTATTTTAGTAAACATTTTATTTTATTTCATGTTACAATTTTTTTTTCTTTATTAGGTTTTATTTATATACAGGTGCATCTCAATAAATTAGAATGTCGTGGAAAAGTTCATTTATTTCAGTAATTCAACTCAAATTGTGAAACTCGTGTATTAAATAAATTCAGTGCACACAGACTGAAGAAGTTTAAATCTTTGGTTCTTTTAATTGTGATGATTTTGGCTCACATTTAATCAGTGATGATTTGGGCTGCCATGTCATCTGCTGGTGTTGGTCCACTGTGTTTTCTGAAGTCTACAGTCAACGCAGCCATCTACCAGGAAATTTTAGAGCACTTCATGCGTCCTTCTGCTGACAAGGTTTATGGAGATTTCATTTTCCAGCAGGATTTGGCACCTGCCCACACTGCCAAAGGTACCAAAAGTTGGTTAAATGACCATGGTGTTACTGTGCTTGATTGGCCTGCAAACTCGCCTGACCTGAACCCCATAGAGAATCTATGGGGTATTGTCAAGAGGAAGATGAGAGACACCAGACCCAACAATGCAGATGACTTGAAGGCCGCTAGCAAAGCAACCTGGGCTTCCATACCACCTCAGCAGTGCCACAGGCTGATTGTCTCCATGCCACGCCGCACTGATGCAGTAATTCATTCAAAAGGAGGCCCAACCAAGTATTGAGTACATGTACAGTAAATGAACATACTTTCCAGAAGGCCAACAATTCACTAAAAATGTTTTTTTTATTGGTCTTATGAAGTATTCTAATTTGTTGAGATAGTGAATTGGTGGGTTTTTGTGAAATGTGAGCCAAAATCATCACAATTAAAAGAACCAAAGACTTAAACTACTTCAGTCTGTGTGCAATGAATTTATTTAATACATGAGTTTCACAATTTGAGTTGAATTACTGAAATAAATGAACTTATCCACGACATTCTAATTTATTGAGATGCACCTGTATATATTTATATACCTGAACTAGTCAAATCTATACACTGAATATGTTCAATAATGATTCCCTTCCTGTAAAATATGTTTTTTGTGTGTAACCAACATGCCATAATAACCAGAAAAAGATTGTATAAATAACTCTGAACTTAAAAAGAACATAAAAGAGCCTGAAATACACCGGGACTCTTATATTGAAATGTCTATGTGTCACTACTTCCAGCTGCTCATTCGAACAGAACAGATGATGATGGGGGGGAAAAATGCACTAAACATTGTCATAATTCATAAACAGTAGATCATAAATAGTCATAAATGCATGCAATTATTGACTGACAACTACTCTGAAACTGTGAACCTGTAGAACAAGCAACACTTGCATTTAATGAAATCAGTTTAATGAATCAGTTTAATGATCAGCTCTTAAACTGAAGACCTCTTAAAATGGTAATAAAGACTGCCCCATTTAACATATCTAAGACTTTTTATGACCTTCAATTTGGGGTTTTAAGGACCCATACGAACCATGAAATTACAGAAATCAATGGTGATGATGGAGAAGTTTGTACCTCTCTCCTGCTGTTTGCGGTTCTCAATGATTCCAGGCGTGTCCACAAATGTGACCCTCTCCAGGAGCTTGTGGGGCATCTCGATGCCAACCAGCTTCTCCAAAAAGTTCTGGCCGAACTTTTCCAGCGGGGAGAAGGAGCGAGAGCTGTCGGCAGCCATGACGATGCCTTCTACGGTGCGGATCTTCTCGCCGTGCATGATGACGGTAAACTCTGAGGTAGTGGGTTCAGCACCTGGATGAACAGAAGATGATACACATTTGTAATAAAATACTTTAATACCGAAAACCACTTGACAAGCAGCACAGACGACAGTTTACCCGTGTATAGCTGGTAAGGAGTGTCCTGCAAACCCAACAGATAGTTGACCATGGAGGACTTGCCCACGCTCCAGGGTCCGAGGAACAGCACCATGGCCATGACGATGCCCTCCACGGTGCGGATCTTCTCGCCGTGCATGATGACGGTAAACTCTGAGGTAGTGGGTTCAGCACCTGGATGAACAGAAGATGATACACATTTGTAATAAAATACTTTAATACCGAAAACCACTTGACAAGCAGCACAGACGACAGTTTACCCGTGTATAGCTGGTAAGGAGTGTCCTGCAAACCCAACAGATAGTTGACCATGGAGGACTTGCCCACGCTCCAGGGTCCGAGGAACAGCACCATGGGTTTGGAGGTGATTTCTCCATCTGTTTGAGAGCGAGAGAGAGAGAGAGAGAGAGAGAGAGAGAGAGAGATGGAGAACAATGGCGTTTACTATTAAAACATTTGAGACTAAGGGCAAGAACCACAATTCAAGATCTACCATGAATGAAAAAGCCCCTTTTCTCTTTTATAAAGCAAATCGAAATCATAATATTAATACACTTTCAAAAATAAAGGTCCTTAATAGGCATCGATGGTTCCATGAAGAACCTCAAGCACCCATAGAACCTTTTCTTTCCACAAAAGATTCTTTATAG